TAGAAGAAATTAAGGGCTAAGGCATAACTAAACAAAACAGTTGAAAATAATCCCAGTCTAGCTGTACATCGTAAGATTCCTGTCTTCTCTGCCTCTGGTTTCCAACTCAGAAATCTAAGCACCTGACTGGAGATAAGTGGTAATCGGTGCTCATGACATGGCAGAGCTTTGTGATGACTACAAGAAGGTGGGGGCTGGCAGGGATATGGTGGCAAGGTCACCAGAGCACTGGAGCTGTGTGCTTTTGTTTCTGTTTACATGTGGAGACTTCTCATTCCCCACTCCCTTTTAATCAGTCATCAAAAACAAACCTCCTTCGGGATATCTGAAGATTTTTCAGTACCCAAGACCTTAAGAAAGCTACTTTATGAGTGGCTTGGTGGCACACACCTTTAGTCCCAGCACTCCAGAGGCAGAGGCAGGAAGATCTCTCTGAGTTCAAGCTTAGCCTGGTCTACAAAGTGAGTCCAGAGAAACCTTGTCTCAGAAAGACAGACAGACAGACAAACAGACAGACAAAAAGAAGGAAGCAAACTAGCTAGTTAACTTACTCTTTAACAGTACAGTATATTGCAGTGAGATTCCCTCAGATACTGTGAATGAAGATTCATTCTAGCTAGAATATAGACATCATCTACCACGTACGCTTATGTATGAGGGAGACAGTCTGAGAGGCCACATGGGACCTTCCAAGACTTTCACATTAGCATACATTAAGATACTTAGTATAGTTTAGTTTTAATTACCTATAAATGGACTATTAATCTTGTGGATTTCTAAAGCCGAATATTTAATGCAAACTAATTCTATGTCATTCTTCCTGTAGTCTTTTTATAGTTATCAGGTAATACAGGCTTAGAAACGTAAATTTGACATCAGTATAACCTCAAAATAGTAAATCTGGCTTTAAAAATAGTACGTTTTTAAAATAATAAATTCCTGCATAAAGTGTTGAATTCTTAGGCTAGTACTCTCTACATTAACAGAACTGAAGGTTCTTGAAATGTGTCATCCTTACCACAAGCTTTTGAGCAGAACCCCGCCATAGTCTTGCGATTTTTCCACAAGCTGGTGCACTATGAAACAGGGACAAGCAGAGCTCAGACAGCAAGGTATGCAAATACAAAAGCTTCTGTACAGGAGCTTATGTCTACCACTGAGACTGTATCTCTTTGGGCCAGGATGGTACAGAAAAGAAGCAGAGGAGTCACAATGTACCGGTTCCTGCTTGACTCGTGTCCCTGAGTTCCTGGACCAAAGGGCTCAATATTTCTCACTAAATCCACCCTTTGTTCAAGGACCTACAATGACTCTATTGACCCTTCCCTCCACATCCAACAGGCTGGCCTCTGAATCCCTTCCACCCTCTTACTCCCCGTGACTTGACAGCCCACACTCTCTCCAGTCACTGGCACACATACCTCAGCCATTCATATATACCACCACTGCACATTACACATTCTATACTCTATTTGGAAAATCCTTTTGTTTGGGGTTTTTGAGACTGGATTTCACATATCCCAGGCTGGCAATGAGTTCTGATCCTCCTGCTTCTATCTCCCAAGTGCAGGGATTACATATATCTATCACCACACTCAATTTGTTCAGAGCTGGAAACAGAATCTAGGGATTCCTGCATGTTACCCAAGCACCCCTAGCCCCTCAGAAAATCTTTTCTTCTTTTATTCCTAACACAGAACATTTTTTCACTGACTTCAATGTATAAATTTATAGGTAATGACAGAGAAGTGACCTGGGTAAGGTCACATTGTAAAGAGAAGAACCAAAGTGCAACTAATTTCATAGCCCGTACTTTTATATGACTAGTCCATAACCTCCCAAGTCCATTTTAAAACATACTAATTCAGAAACCTTTTGTTTAATCTCATTAATTCCTTGTTACTTCAAGTTTTCTCCAGCCTATACCCACTCCAGCACAGTACACTAGACTTGGTTTTGTTTAGACAGTTTCCTACATTTAAAGAGTCTGAACACTAGAGCTTCTTTACATTTATGTCACTGTCACCCTCTGCCCTGCTCCATGCCCCATGTGGTACTTCCCTGTCCCTCACTTCTACTCCAAGTGAAAAGACATCTTTTTATATTTTTTTATCTTCCTAGACACTGGAGCTTAGAGGTTGCTTTATCCAAGGGAGTGTTCAATTATTATTCAGCAAGAATTTTTTAAAGTTCTCTCTTTTATTATCTTTTAAAAAGTCGACTGAATTCAGAAATTCATGAAAAAACTGCCCTGCACAAAATTTTAATTGTATGAATTTATCAGGCACTAAGATTCCAGTTTGCTATTCCACTGTTCTTAGGTTCCATAGGAAATCTATTTCTAAGACCACATTTGCCAAGATTGATTTTCCCCCCTTTGGTGGGGTTAAGTGTTTGTGGTCTGAACACTTCCCTAGACACACACACACATACATACATACACACACACATACACACACACACGCACATACATACATACATACAGTCTCTCTGTCTCTGTCTCTCTCCAATAGTCTCAGACAACACTGTTAGAATACCTGAGGGATTTGGGAGCTCAGAAACTTTAATAAGAAGTATAATATCCCCATAACAAAGTGAACATTTATTTTTGATACTAAATTGTTCCACAATAACTCACTTGGCTGCATATAATATACCTCAAATTTCTAAAAAGCCGTCTAAGAACTGAGACTAACATACTGAGCTGTTTGTTCTACACTCATTCCTAGGTTTACTCAAACTCTTCAATCCATACCCAGTGGGGTAACATACACAGTTCAACAAAAGGAAGCTAGATAGGAATAGAAATTACCCATATGCCATAACTACGATTGGTACCAGCCAACTCACATGGATTAAAGCAACTATTAGTAGTTAAGACTCCAAGAGGATATGTGTGATTTTTTTAAAATCCAATTTTAGACTCCAACTGAGATATTTTTCCATTAATAGGTAGAAGGAGAGGGGAGGAATAGAGAGATAAAGCAATTATTACTTCAAGAACATTCCAAGTTAGTGACATAACTCTATCACAGCACATCTAACCCTGAGCACCAATCATTGGTGGCCTTGTCTTATAATACAGCTCATCAGAATCCACTGCTGGTCATATTGCCTTATACAACATACCAGCCTTTTTTCTTTGACAAAGTTTTACTTTTTTTCTCCGCCACAGAGAAAGTCCCTGGTACTAAATGAAAGGGTAAGACGGATCAGAGCATAAATAAATAAATAAATAAATAAATAGTAGTTTGGAAACTACCGTCTACACTTCCCACTTAAACGTATGTCCAAAGCAGACATCTATTCTGTTCTAAATTATTCACGTTAATGGATAATGATTGGCAGAAAGGTGCTGATAATCCAAAATGAGAACGAAAAATCGAAAAAGAAAAATCTATTTTGGTTTTGGAATATGTGTTTTCAGCATATTTACCTTCTCAATTATGCCTAGCATGAGCTAATATTTGTGTTCATGTGCAATCTCTAAGTACACAGAAACCAGCCTGGATTAGGAAGGCGCTCTGAAGATGCCAGTTCACTAGTAAAGTTAGAACAGACTGCTATTCAGCCCTGTACAGGAAGAGCTGAAATTTCTTTTATTTTACATTCTGTTCAGCCTTCAAAATATCAATAGACTAGCACAGCAGGTTAGTAAACCAAAGAACAATTAGTTCCTCATTGTTTACCTAGAATGTGTTCATTTGTAACTTAGGTACTGCCATCATTTAATTACAAGTCTGATTCTCCCTGGCAAACTTCTCCATCTCTCAGGAACAGAATATCATTTACTAAGGAACACATTTCCTAAATGTCTTCTTAGCTATGCAATATAGAAAAAAATTAAAATAGAAATTAGCTACTTCTTTGGAGTCTTCTTACCACTACTTATTTTTCTTATCCACCTGAAACAGATTTTGAGAGACAAAGGGACCTATGTATATTGTAGGTAAAGTCAAAGACCGACAAATTACCAGCTTCTAAGTAAAACATGCTATGTAGTATTCACAAAAAGATAAAGAAGGCAAAAGCCAAAATTGGGCTAGGAATTGGCTTTGCAGTCATGAAAATTCCCTAAGAAGTTTTTTTTTGGGGGGGGGGGGTGGTAACCTCTTAGACCAAATTTCACCAGTCCGCTTCTCTCAACTTGCCCATTTTTACATGTGTCTTGTGCCTAGAAGACACCTAGTTAGAAAGACATTCTATCACCAGAGAGGAGAGAGAGAGACTCTGAGGGCTGGTACTTGTGAGCGACAGGCTAAAAATATGCCGGCCCAGTAAACAAATCCCATTCCATCTCGACAGGAGCCACACCGTTAACCTAGTAATTATGAGAAGAGTGAGATCACGCAGCCGCCAGCTTACTCATCATCAGCTTCTAAAGTTTCCATCGGCTCAGAGCAACTTTTCTTTTTTTCTGAAGTCCATAAGCCTGCCCTAGAATTTCTACACCTACACTCACACACAGCCTGCCCCTCTCCCTCTCCCTCTGTCTCCCTCCCCCCACCCTCTTTCCCTCGCCCCAACCCCACACTCCCTTCCTCCATTACTGGACGCACCTCGGTTTGGCTATCGTTAAGAACAAACTTGTCTTTTCTTTTTACTTTTATAGTGACTTTAAAAGAACTTTATCCTACTGGGATAAAGGAGTGGGGCCGGCGGCTGCATCTAGACCACCCCAAAACTCCGCCATCCCTCTCCTAAAGTCTAGCTGACAAGAAGAGACCATCCAAACTGCCCAGCACAGCTCGGGGAAGGACAGGAACCGCCGGCCAGGACTGGGAGCGCGGGACGCAGGTGAAAGATTGGCGTGAAGGGGGAAGGTGGGGACCAAGCAGGGAGCGGCGAAGCGAGGAGCGGGTGCTCAGGGGAGATGGCTTCAGGTGAAGTCTGGTCAGAAAGAGGAGGCAGTGGAGCTCGACGACGCAGAGTTTGGGGCGCTAGAGACGCGAGAGGGGCGGGGGAAATGGGGAGGGTGTCAGGGCTGGGGGCTCCGTTACCCTCGCGACTCTCAGGGCAAGGCTCTAGGCCGGGGCGGAGCGCGGGCCCCGGCCGCCTCGCCTCATTCCTCGGCAGTGACCCCGGGGTCCGAGCGGCCCCTCCCCCGACGACGATGGAGGCGGAGGCGGACACTGCGACCGCGGCTGTTGCTCTCCACAGGAGATGGAGCTGGAGCCAAGCCGGACTGACCGGAGCTGGCCTCTTCCCAATGGCTTTCCGCCGGCTCCACACCGGGTCGCCACTCCGACTCCAGAGGCTGATTCAGGATCGGTGGCTTTCGGCCGTCCGGCCGGAAACAAGCGCCCGTTTCCGGCCGGAGCGGGTTGGCGGTGACACCCTAGCCGCCCCCGGGCCTCCTCCCGCCCGGCGCGGCCGGCCCTGCCCCGCCCCGTCCCGCCCCGCCCCGCCCCTCCCCGCAGCAGCCCCGCCCACAGGACCGCTTTGGGGCTGTGGCCGGTTTGGCGCTTGCCCGACGCGTGACCCCGCGCGTTCTTGGCTAGAGTCCCCGAGGCTCCCCCCCCCCCCCCCCCTCTCGGCTGAAGCACTTTTGAGCGGGAGCTGGGAGCTCGGCATGGGCTGTTAAGACTTTGGGGTCGCATCAGTTGGCGCCAGCCTTAAGGGAAGAAATGGAGACCGGCGGAGTAGCTTTCGAAAGGTGAGAAGGATAAAAATACTTGAGAAGAAGGTTGAAATTCTAGTTACTCCACGCAATCCTGGACCAACCAGAGTGAAGTGAACATCGCTTCCTACAAACCAGCCCCACCCAGTTATGCACTCCCCTTGTTCCTTCACTCTTGACGAGAACATACCCTTTTCTTTATTTACTTGCATAACAATGACTCCCTAGTGACATCCCTGCCACAGTCAGTAAAAGTTTTTAGTACTTTTCATTGTTAATGTGTTTTTACAACATTACAGCATAATTCAACGCCTGCACTTATTGAAGCACTACTGTACTCCACAATGCTGGAAATAGAAAACTCAACATGACATAAATCCCGAGCATCAGCAATCTAACAATTTAATATTAATAAAATTCACTGAAGTATTTTATATAAAGCAAAATGAGCGTATATGTCATGTAGGTTACAATGAGCTGTGCCTAGGAGCACACAAACAAGGCATTTCAACTTTTCATATTTGTAAAAGAATATGGACTGCTTTCAGAAGAAACACTTTATTGCAAACACAAAATGGGCTCAGCCTATGTTATACTCCAACCAAATGAATCCTAAATTTTAATTCAGACCCCTAACATTGTGGTGCCCAGTCCACACATTCAAGGCAGTGTTTATTATCATAATTGTTTATGTAAAAACACATAGTACAGTTAGCTCTTTATTTTCCTCAGTATTCTCTGAGGCTTTTGGTTTCTAAAGGGGAAGGATAGAGCACAGAATTATCCAGACTAGGAAACTGACACCTGAAACAGGAAACCCGCTGGATAGCTGTATCTCTTGAAGAATACCCTTAAGTTTAGAGTTGAAAGTTCAGGGCTGAACCTAAGGCCATGTACACATACCTCAGCCAAGCAACACAACCAGCACCTTGCATGGAACTTACCAAAACTTACAATGTAACTTAACAAGCAGGGCCATTTGGGCAGAGCTTAAAAGATTCAGGGAGTATCGATTATGACTACTATTTAGTGACAAATCTGAGGAGAAGAGGGTGGGACTTGGTTTTATTGAATTCCACAGATCATACTAGACCTTGCCAGCTAAGTCTGAGGTGGGAAGGCAGAGCTGTGCAAAACTGAGAGCTGTTTTCACCAAGGTCTCCAGGCCCAAGTCATGCTCATCGATTAGCTATGCTTAACCCACTCTCACAGACTCCTTAGGACCAGGTACGGAGCTCAAAGGCTCTCTCCACCTTTAGTAGAAGACAGATGTCTTTTTTGGCAGTGACCACAAAAAGTAGTCCAGATTCAAGAGCTGAGCCAAGTGGCTGGTCAAAGCTATTTAAGCAACCGCACATTGTAGGCCTGCCTGGAAATTTAGGGATCAGGAAGTGATGGGGTTGCAGTTGCTCTGTGCCTGTTTCTTACTCTGACCATCCATCAGGCATTGTTGTTTGTGTAATTGCTCAATGGGCTACTTGTCTTTGGCCAGCTCTGTCTGTGTGGGTAGCAGTGTGGTCAGCTGGGCTGGAAGCCAGGCCACCTGGGTTCTGGTCCCAGCTCAGCCAGTCCCTAATCCATTAAGTGACTCCCATTCCTATGCTGTCAGTTTCTTTGCCTATAAACTAGGAGCGTCTTCTCTTGCCATGTGCAGACTGTCATAGTGTCTGATGCTCAGAAACCTATCATCTGATAGTAAACAGTCACAGCAGCCTTAGTACAGCCGAGTCTTCCCCTCCCCCCCTCAACTAGGTAGAATAGTAAGGAAAGGATGGAAAAGCATCAAAGAAAACACCAGCAGTGTACACAAGGCCACGCCCCTCATCTGCCACAAGGCCACGCCCCTTGCCTGCCGCTCCCCTCCCTGTTCTTTTCCACCCTGAATGTTTTTTGTTTCCTTGTCTTAGTGATTTTTAAGCTACAAGAAGCTCCGTGAGGTTTAACTTGCATTTCAGCAACGCAACTCAACACTAGGCTGACGGGTACGGTGCAGGGGAAATATTCAGAGAAAGCTGTTTTGCAACTAACCAGGAAGGAAAAAGGAGAAATTATTTGCATTTATATGTTTTTGTGGTAGAAAAGAAAACCAAACCAAAATAACTTCCTTTCTGTCACTGTGACTATAATTTAGACCAGTGGTTCTAGGATGCCTTTAAAACTATGTATTGTAGGTGCCTAGGAATGTCAGACTAACTCAGAGTTCTTGACACTGAAGATCATAAATCCATATATATTTAAAAAAAAACATTCAGGGCCTTTTCTAAGTTAAATCCATCCCTATCCCCTGACTCAGAAATTCTATTCCTCCGTATTTACCCACTAGAAAGGAAAATATGTGTCTATGAAAAGCTTATATATAAATGTTCATAACAACTTCATTTCTAATAGCCACTCAATGGAAACCTTTCAAATGACCACAATAAGAAATAGACACAAATACATATATATAGGAATTTTTATAAAAAATAAATAAGCTACTGTTTTAAAGATTTATCTTATTTTACGCATTTGAGTATATTATTCTGCCTACATGTATGTGCACCATGTGTGTGTACTGTCCATGGAAGCCAGAAAGAGGGTGCCAGGTCCCCTGGAACTGGAGTTACAGATGGCTGAGAGTCACATAGTGCTAAGAACTGACCCTGGGTTTCCTGCAACAGCAACAAGTGCTATTAACCACTGATTCATCTCTCTAGCCCTTCAAAAACTTTTGCTTATTGATGTTTGCTCAATTTTAGAACATTACATAAGGCCCTGGATTTGATACTGAGGAATACACACACACACACAAATTATCGGGTGAAAAAAAGTCATTTTTAAGAAACTCAAATTTCAGAACAGGCAAAAATACACAATAGGCCAGGCAGTGGTGGTGCACACCTTTAATCCCAGCACTTGGGAGACAGAGGCAGGCAGATTTCTGAGTTCGAGGCCAGCCTGGTCTATAGAGTGAGTTCCAAGTCAGCAAGGGCTACACAGAAAAACTGTGTCTGGAAAAAAACAAACAAACAACAGCAACACACAATAGTAGGTACCAGCCATGGCCACCTATTAAGGGAGAAGAAAAACTAACTTAAAGTGACACAAGAGGATTTTCTAAAGTGGTGGAATGTACCATGGCTTACTAAAAGTAGCTGTTACACATATATGTCACATTGGGGATTTTTTCTTAATTTTAAGGTATTATGTTATTATTTTACATAAATGGGTATATTTCCTGCGTGTATATCATGTCTATCTGTGCACCATGAACCTGGTTCCCAAAGAGGCTAGAAGAGGGCAGTCTTCTTATGTATCATTGCTAGATCATACCTCCTAATACTGAGACTCCAAGACTACAGTGATCTCCCCATACCAAAGTGATACCAACGCACAGCAACATAGCTATTCTTGGTTGTCAACTTGACAGACCCAGGGAAGCTGGAACCTCAAATGAGGATTTCTCTCCATCAGATTGGGCTATGCGCATGCCTGTGGGATGGATGTTTATGCTTCTTTCTTACTACTAATTGATAGAGGAGGATCTAGCCTACTTACTGTAAGTAAGCCATCCCTGGACAGATGGGTCTAGGTTGTATAAGGAAGCTAGCCGAGCAGAAACCGGAGCAAGCCAGTAAGCAGCACTCCTCCATAGTCTCTGCTTCAGTTCTTGCCTCCATGTTCCTGCTTGAATTCACGCCCTGACTTCTCTCGAGGACTGACTACTATAGTCTGTAGGATAAAATAAATCTTTCTTTCCAAGTTGCTTTTGGTCATGGTGTTTATCATGGCAACAGGAAGCAAACCAGGTCTCCTTCCTCTTTGCTGAGAAAGCCTCGACTGCATTCAACAACAATCCTTCTCTGTGTGACTCTGAACTTCAGAGGAGTCTGGTTCTGGTGAGGTGGGGACAGGGGGAGTTGCTGGTCAAACACAGATCACAAAAATCCATTACCCTCTGTTTGGCTTTGTTTAGACAGGGAGTTGAATTCTGACCAATATGAAATGCAAAGAAATCTGCTGGAGGCTTTTGGAATAGGTATTGGGTGGGGAGTGTCTGTTCTTACAAAGAGACAAGAAGAAAGTGGTTTTTTTCTTGCTGTTTGAATATTGACTTTTGAATCGTTGTGCTGGTTGCAAGACTAGCTTGATAATCAGAAGATAGCAGAGGAAAAACAATTAAAAGAATCTGGCCCTTTGATAAATGACTGATTCAACCAGCACTGGCGTGGCTCTACTGGAAGTTTTTGTTACATAAGCTAATTCATCTTACTTATTGTTTAAGCCATTTTGAATTAAGTTTCTATGACTTAAAACTCAAAGCATCTCAAGTGATAAGATGACATTAGTTCCTTAGCGTTATAGAGAAATGCAGGATTCCTTAGTCTGCATTACGAGCTCCTGGGCCGCTGACCTCCGTCTGGCTCTAGGGCCGAATGCGAATGTGGCA